GTCTAAGACTGATTCTTAAGTGTTGACAGAGGTGACACTTAAGTGTTGCAAACTAAGGACTACAATGGTGTCAACCCAAAATGGCTGCCCTTGACCTCTGAAACAGCCATTAGTAAGCATGCTCATGTGAAGTCACAGCAGCACAACACTAATCATTTAATGTAACTACAATAAAATCATTTAATTAAGACACTGAAATATTTTAATACTTAAATTTATTTAAAAAAAAAATGCTTTGCATTGTGCAAACTTATCACAAATTGTGAACATGAGCCCCATCAATGGCTCCAACAAGTCCAGGAAAGCCCACAATCCTCATGAAAGTGTCTTGTTTTTGCAGCATGGCTTGACGGTCAGTTGGAAAGTCAAAGAACTGCCATATAGTAGTGGCCAAAAGGGATGCCGGCCTAGGAAATTTGACATCTTCACCCTTAATTTAAAAAAAAAAATGTGTTAAAGATTTTGTAAGCATATTGCTGTAACTTTGGGAGGCTTAACAACGCAGCAGTGGATCCAAATGCAGGCTTTTATTAGAATTGTGGTCAAAACAGGCAGGGTCAAACAACAGCAAACAGGTATAATCCAGGGCGAGACAAAAGAGTAATCCACAAAACAGGTGAAGGTCAGGGCAGGCAGCAAACAATAAGAAATCAGAAACAGTCGAGGGTCAAAAACAAGGCAAGGCAGCAAGGCAACAAGGAACCAGGAAAACACAGGAAACATGGGAACTAGGAAACGCTACAGGCTAGACAATACTGAGCAATGAATGTGTGGATAACCAGGCCATAAATAAGGTGAGGCTGATGGAGGTAACAAGACACAGGTTAATGCAATAAGTGATGATGAGTCCAGCAGAGGATTATGGGAAATGTAGTCTGTGAGAGTGGCAAGAGTCAGGGGTGGAGTGCCATCTGGTGGAGTTCATGGGCACTCCAGCTGGAGATAGTGACAGATCCACAACCCTTAAGGAGCCTTAAGGAGCGGCTTCCAGACGCTTTCAAACGAGAACAGAAATTAGTCCAGGAGGGAGGTAGAGTGGAGGTGGAACAGGGGGAGGGATAGAGGGCCAGGTCCATGTGGAAGTGGGGGAACTGGGGACTGTGGCAAAGCCGGCGGAGCAGGGTGCCAGGGCAGAGCCGGCAGAGCAGGAAGCCAGGGCGGAGCAGGAAACCACCAGGGCAGAGCAGACAGGACTGAAGATCCCCACGGAGGAGCAGACGACCACCACAGCAGTACATTATATTACTACAATTAAAAATATTTTTGGAAAATTAAACAGTTTCTTACAAACTTATCTGATTTGATAAAATACATAATGAAATATAATCCTATATGTGTAACGGAGAAATTACAATTAGCTTCAAGGTACACATGACAATTAATGAGATTAATACAACACTTCTACTTGAATGTCACTATCAATCACTATTGAGTGTTTGTAATAACTTCTGACTGCGATCTAAAGTGGATTTTGGTCAAATGATGAGGCAGAAATATGTTGTTAGTAACATTCTAGAAGAATTTTATGTGGAAGATACACCGTTACAACTTCTGTGGGGCGTGAAGAAAAATAATGTAACTAGTAGTGTAACTAATTACTTTAGCCAGAAAGTAATAAGTAAAGTAACAATGTTACTTTTGAAAGGAGTAATGAGTAATATATTACATTCTTTGAGTAACTAGCCCAACACTGTCAAGCACTAATAAGTACCCGTTTATATACTGAGAAATTTCATGATGTATCAGGTTTAACAAGGACTCTGTGACGTAACAAACTCTATTTTTATATAGTGAACTTACACCTAAGTTAGCCTCCCAAGAGCAAAAAGATGCCTTTGGGCAGACTGAAACTCCAAAACTTTGGCACAGACATACCTGACCTAAATGGGAAACAAACCACAGGCAGCTGAAGCATGAAGCATGATGTAGGCCTATAAATCCACTCACAAAAACAACACTGCTGGTTTCAGTCGTTCTCCCTTAATTCACTTCTACCAGCATTTTAAACTGTATAAGCATAAACAATTAGCACATGATTTTATCGGATTTATTAAGATTATTATAACAACTTCATATCCAGGTCAAAAATAAACCAGGGCTTATGGAAAAAATGTCACTGAGATATATTTAAAACGGAATAATTCAGTTTTTTTTTTGTTTGTTATGTAACATATTATGTATATGATATCCTCCTTACATCCTGCTTTTGCAGTCAGCACAAGTACCAAATCATTCATTAGTGTCTTCCACACAAGTAATACAAGCCCGGAAACACTGGCTCAGAACATGGGAGGAGATTATTAACTTGGATCTTTTTTTAGCATCAGTGTTATTGTTATTATTTGACCACACAGAGAAACAACTCTAAGTAAATATTGTTTCTTCCTGAGAAGGGGTGTGTGTTGCATGAGCAGGAATTAGACCACTGAGTAACTTCCTGCAAGAACATTAGCCTAGGTTCCCCATTCCATTCAGTCCATTCAAATACATTCATGAAAGAGCCTTCCTGCTGTACATTAACACTAACAGACCAAATTGAATGAAATTAAACCCTGAGACTTGTTTTTATGGTACATTTTAAGGTGGTACATTTACATATGGTGCATATGGTACATTTACAATGCTTTGTGCTATGACTGAAGCTCTAAAATCGTTTTCACGTTACAAAAAAAAAAAAACATTGCTTCTTGCATGTCTAGTAACTGTATTGGTTATTCCACAACATGCCATTTTCACTGATAATCTTCATTTGCACTCGCATATGAAGATGAAGGATAAAAATAAAATAAGCATGTTTTTAAGGAGTTCTAATCTGTTTCTTATATGCAGCCTATGCCGTTGACACAATGACAAAAGATGACACAAATGACACAAATTAATAATCTTCTAAATCCTGTGAAAATCAGCTGCTATTGCAGATATAGATATTAATACATGTGAATAGGTATGGTTGCAGGTGCACAGTGAACTTGCCCTCTTTGACCTTTTTCAGTATGGAGGATGGCAGCTCATAGAAGCAGCCGCTAAAGAGATATCTATGTATATCTATCTATGGTCTATGCAGCTTAAGTTCAGCTTACTGTTTCCTGTAAAGAGCTTTCACATGACAAATGAAGGAAAGGATGTTGCACACGAGTGGCCATGGCAGAAATGAAAGACTCACTGTCAAGACAACTCTTTGTTAATTTTCCCATTGCCTGACTCCGAACTGTAGATGGTGTTTTGTTCCTGAATGATACAGCATTTTGAAAGAAATGGTTGAATTAATTATTCAATGGCTCATGATTCATAAATCCAATCACTTGCTGCCACCTATTGGCATAACAATGTAACTTGCAGAATGAGTCACTAATGCATGGATTGAGTCTGTCTTGATCATTCTTTTTCATCCGTCATAAGGTAAGTCTTTTTTTTTAAGTAATGAGAACTGAGGAGACAATGTGTTTAATTGTTGGGAAAAGTAATATCATAATGCAACAAAATCTAATTTATCCTAAAATTATCTTCAATTTATGTCTTATTTACTGCATTTTGGCTTTGGACATGTTCTTGATAGCTTTTGTAAGATGTATCAATTTAGTATTGCTATCACTGTTTATAAGAATAGACATGCTGAGGGTGAGGGTGCAGACAGGCATCCAGAGCCAAATCAATGTCTTTTTTTTTTAAGTAATGAGAACTGAGGAGACAATGTGTTTAATTGTTGGGAAAAGTAATATCATAATTCAACAAAATCTAATTTATCCTAAAATTATCTTCAATTTATGTCTTATTTACTGCATTTTGGCTTTGGACATGTTCTTGATAGCTTTTGTAAGATGTATCAATTTAGTATTGCTATCACTGTTTATAAGAATAGACATGCTGAGGGTGAGGGTGCAGACAGGCATCCAGAGCCAAATCAATTACAAATAATTTCAGAATCATTCTATTTCTACTTCTTATTGACAAAGAAACTATTTATCCTAGAAGAACTTGAACATAACTGACATAATCCAATTTCATATGCTCCTAACACATTCAAGCTTTTCCTCAATGGTTGTTTTTAATAGGCAGAGTCACCTTGTGACATTTTTTTTTTTTTACAACATTTGATAACATCTTGAACAGGCTAACAGTTCATAAATACCCTGAGCAAAACTGCCCTTCTCAAGGAACATTGTTTTAGCATACAGAGCAGTCATTGTTTAGTTATTAACCTGACATTTGATCATGAGAATGCCTCTACAAACTTTAGAACTATAGTTTCACTTTCCACTGTAGTGAAAAAAACAAAAGTAAGCTCAAAGTCTCATTAAAAAAATCACCTCCATGAAAGGTGTTAAAAAAAGTTAGTGACTAGTCTAGGGCATAATGCTGACACTTGCCAAAAATATTATTGTTAGTCATTACGTATACTGTACACACTGACTTGTGAGTAGTAATTAAACTTGAAAGTGGTTTTATTTAAAATATTTTTAATTTGACAAGTTACAACGTACAAACATAAAGCCACTGAATGCACTTTATGAATACAAGCCAGATGGAAAGTACCGCTTTAGTTCTCTGGGATGCCAGGATGACAAAAAAAAAATACATTTTACATAACAGTGTAGTACATTTCAGTAGCACTGGTCATTAGTGAAATGAAATGTAGTATTATTGCAAACAGAATGTATTTACAAAAAGATAAACATTATTTAAAAATGGTCTGCCCTGAGAGAGAGTAAAATCCCTCAACTTTTTTTTTTTATAAAAACACATAAATATGTACATTGTACTCTTCTGCTCCTTAATCTTGTTAAAAATATATACAATTTTTAAGTGTTTCAAAAACAATCAGAGGAGAAAATGATTGTTTTGACAGTAATTCTGATCATTCTAGAGGACATATAAACATGTTAGAACGAAAGAAAGAAAGAAAGAAAGAAAGAAAGAACGAACAAAAGAACGAAAGAAAGAAAGAAAGAAAGAAAGAAAGAAAGAAAGAAAGAAAGAAAGAAAGAAAGAAAGAAAGAAAGAAAGAAAGAAAGGATTCAGTTTGTTGCACTTGCAGACTGTGCCAGTATTACAGTGTAATGACTAAACTGTATCGGTTTTTTCTCTGCCAGTATGTAGGTGCTTATTCACCAATGTTCAGCCTCCAGCAGTCACAAGATAAAACTCAACAATTGGTTTATAAGGACCTCTGCTGGCAAACCGACCAAACTACAATAAGAGGTATTCAAAGCAGACAGGTTTCAAATCACAACGCAGAAAAAATTAAACCTCAGAGAGGATATACAAATATATACAAAAAATAATCACTGGATATATTAGATTTTTAAGAACTAAAATTTGAGGCACCACTTCCTCAATTCTCTGGCCAGACAGAAATGAGTTTAAATAAACAATAAAAAATTAAAGATTGTAAAGGAATATATACAGTATATTTCCTGAGAATTTCAATTATAGCTACATAAAATAATTACGTCATATATACAAACATATTATTACATTGTCCACAGTGCTTATTTAAATGGTGGTTAATATGTGCATTAACAAGAGTATTCTGGTTCTAGTTAGAGATCCACGCTGGTTGTATAAAAGCCAAGACAAGCCCAGTTCCAAATCAATCCGGTAATAACATCCCTCTCAAAGTACTAAACCTTAAATTATGGATGACTCAGGTTTTGATTCATAACCTGATTTAGATGTTAGTCATAAGCCTACAAAAATTGTCTCAGCTTGTCCACTGAATTATATTCAGCAGGATGTACCTCAGGCTAAACAACCAGTTATCCTCATCTCAGAAATTTGAAGCAAACAACGCCCACTGTACACATACTGCTCACAAACGTAATAAAGGAGCACTTTTATCCAAAAGTGTATCTTAGCTTTTTTTTTGCGAGTCGATATGCTGAGTTTAAAAGTGGAAGTGGAAAACTATGTAGATGGACGTCTATTAGGCTGGAGTCTTAGGGTCAAGCCTAGTCTCTGGGTTCAGGGCTGAGGTCCACTGAAAGTGGCAACAGGGAGACAAAGCAGAGAGCAGAAGGTTGACTGCAGAGGCTGGGTCTGAGATGAGAACACCCTTCCTTTCGTCCAGTCAGTCGAACTATCCGGCTTATAGCAAACTGATACCTCACACCTGCAAAGAGAACGAGTTTTGGGTTGTTCATATCACTGTATTCAGTGAAGCTTACATCCTAATAGTAACTGCCAATGGCAGATGCATTGAAAATATTTACCAGTTGTTGGCCACAAAACTGTATTTTTATAACAAATATTTTCATTGTCTCTATGACACCTCTATGACAGAATTAACCTTTTTTTTTTCTTTGTGACAAACCGCAGTGGTCACTGAGTAACTTTTAGTCTCATTTCCATCTCACAGGAAAGAATAAAGATGACATTTCATGATTTTGTTCCTCTTTTTTGTTTTGCTGGCTTAATGCAAGGAATATTCCACGTTAAAACACAAAATTAAAAAAGTACTTTAAAAAAAAAGTCTTATGTTCACAAAAGCTGCATTTATTTAATAGAAAATAGAGTAAAAACAGCAACAATGTGAAATATTAAAAATATAAATATATAATGGTTTACTATTTTAATTAAAATGGCAAAGCTGAATTTTCAGCAGCCTTCAGTGTCACATGATCCTTCATAAATCATTTTAATATGCTGATGATCAAGGAATGTTTCTTATCGTCAAAGTTGAAAACAGTTGTGCTGCTTAATATTTTTGTGGAAACAGTCATATAAACTTTTTCAGCACATTTGAATAGAAAGTTCATAAGAAACAGCGTTTATTTGAAATAGGTTTTTATAACAATGTGTTTTACAATGTTTTTTTTTTTACTGTCACTTTTGATCAATTTAATGCATCCTTGCTGAATAAATATGTTACATATATAAAATAATGAATACAATTAATCCTCCTATAATGAAAAATAATGAATTTATACTGGACAGCAGTGGTGAACAAAGTACACAAACGTATTGACATATTACTCCAGTAAAAGTAGTAATTTTAAATTTTACTTGAGTAAAAGTACTGAAGTATTGTTTTGCGATTCGATCAGGTAGAGCATGGTGCTACCAATGCCAAGGTCATGGGTTCAATTCACTCAGGACAGGTGTAAAAACCTATCTGACTTGTTTGTCTACCACTGCTAGGCAGGAAATAAATATATTTCCTTTTTGGCCAAAATTCAA